AAAAAAAAAAAAACAGAAGAGGAAAATTTGAAATGAGTAAGGTGAAATGTTCTATTAACTGCTTTTTATTCATTTGAGGAAAATAACAAAAACTAAGTCCAAGAAAAATCCACTAAGTTATGGACTTGAAAATAGTTGGAAAATACTGCTTTTGTATCTGAGGAAGGAATTTGACCCTACAGTGGACACTCCAAAGAAATCCCGTTAAGATTTTCCTCAGGTTTTCACACCTAAAAGGATAATTATATTTCACCAGATGGATTGAATGTTTTGGTATAGTCTCTGTATTTTTGTCTTCAGGAGAGGTGTTCCATCACTTCCCTGGCTGTAGAGAAGGCAGGAGCTTATTATCTCCTGCTTATTTGTCAGGGAACCACAAAGTCTAAGTGATCAAATAGTTCTGAATGTTGCAGAAGTTTGCCTTCAGCTTTACAGAATGGATTAAAAAGCATTACATAAATTAAATTTGTGGTTAATGAGCAGATGGATTTTATTCCAATTAACCAGTGTCAATGAAGTGTAAATCCAGGTCTTAAATAAAGCTCGCCACCCTACTTCTGAGTTATTTCTTGGCACATAAGATTACAAGGCATTTGTTTCTCATTGATTTCAGCAGGGCCAGGATTTATTCTTACAAACCTTTTGCTCTGGTGTCTTGGGGTGTGAGGCACAGTCCCATTCTCTCCCAGCACAGCCTGCAGACAGGGTAGGAGGCTGTTCAGCCCCTCAGGATGTGACTCCTGGCACAGATTGGGTGTGGAGATGCCAGCAGGAGCAGTTCCCAGACTCTCCAGGGGGAAGAACTGCAGTGTGAAGCTTCCATGGTCTCATGGCTCTCCAGTCTCACCAGGAGCTGGGCTGCCCCTTGCTCCATCCTGGTGCTTCAGCCTCCTGGAGAAAAGAAAAAATCACTGTTTTTGGGGTATAAATGGTTAAAGTAATTGTTAATATTCCTTTTTGTGCTGCTGGCTGCAGTACCAGTTGTTCTTTCTGCTCTCTGGGCATGTGATCAGGGCTAGACCCTTTCTCCTCTGACATTAAAACTGATCCAGGCGTGCCTGTGAATATGCACAGCTAGAAAATACCAGTTCCAGCCCGAATGGGGTCTGTGGGCTGCATGCTGGCCCCAGAAAACCACTGGGTGCATCAAGGGCATGGCTGCCTGCAGCTCCTGGTTAAATAACCTTCAGGTAGCTGTCTGCAGGTATTTTGAGAAGGAATGCCACCAAGCTATGTACTCCTGAGTTGTCTTTGAAATGAGAAATGTGAAATTGTTTACACATTCAAATGATGTACCTGAGTCACTGTCCCTGGAGGAATTCAAGAGCCATGCAGTTTTGGGGACACGGTTCAGGGATGGCCTTGGCAGTGCTGGGTTAGTGGCTGGACTGGATGATCTTAGAGGTCTTTTGGAACCTAAATAAATCTCTGATTCTGTGTGATGGTGATGTTTCACAAGGCAGAAGTAGGATTTTCAGAGTTACATGTTCTTTCCCTTTTTATTTTTTTTTTAAATTTTGAGTCTTCTTTTCTCCTTTGAAGTCCCAATGTGATCTTAAAAATTCCAGTTGACACCAAGTCTAAGATGTGTGTGACCAAATGCATTGTAAGGATTTTTGTTAGCTCTCTGGCCAGCAGGTGTGGCCCTGCTTTTGGCTACGCCTCTATTTGTGAAAAATGCCCCAAGGAAGAATAGAGAGGCCAGAAAACAAGAATATATTCTGATTGTGGCCGTGTGCAATATTGCCTCACTTCAGGCTTTCCATCTTAGAAAAGCCATTCCTGTTCTGAGTACAGTGCAGTCCTTCATGCCCAGCTAGAAAGATCATTTTAATTGAAAATAGGATTACTCAGAGAAAGGGAATGGGTGTGAGGGGTTTTTTTTTCTTTCTTGTGGGTTTTTGAAATGGTCTGAAATTCCTTCAGAAGCCATCTTAGACCTTGTTTACTTCTCTTTCCAGTATTGCCTCAGGATATAATGTCAGTGGGAAAGCAGAACCCGTTTATTATGAATGTAGAATTGCAGTAGGTAATTAGAGCAGAATGGCTGCTTTTCTAAACTTTTTTTTTTTTTTTTGGCTAGAGGATTTAGAAGAAAGTGCAAAATCCCTTTTTCTATTTCATATGATTTGTGTTAAGTTACCTGAATTTTGACAGAAAGTTTTTAGTTCAATGGATTTTGTTTCTAAAAATAAAAATAAAGAAAAAGTGATTTTGCATATTTCAGTAGCAGAAAGAATAGCTTCAGGTACTTTTTTCAATAGTGTAATAAAGAATGAAATTATGTTATATTTGTATGTAAATCCTGACACCTGAGTGATGAACAGCCTTGAGAGTCATGGAGTAGTTAGGGTTGGAAGGGACTTCTGAAGATCATCTAGGCCATCATCATATATCTTCTACTGAATTTAAATGCAACAATTGCTTGAAATTAATTCTTTTCCAGACAAAGGTTTTATAGCCCTGTTTTCCCTGTTAATTTTTCTACAAGAAGACAAACTTAGCCTTGTTAAGAAAATGTCATTAAGAAAATATCAAGAAATGCTACAGGAAAAGGGAATGCTGGGCTCAGAAGGAGCACAGAGCTGCATTCAGAGGACAGTTCACAGCCCCAGAATTGAACAATGTGATTTTATCTGGGGTCCTGGAGTGTCTGGTTACACACTGGGTGTTGTGATCGTCTCAGGTCTTGGTCTGCTGCTTCATAAAAATCAACCAGCCAAACCCCTCAGTCTCATCTGAAACTGAAGATTAAATACTTAGATTAATTTTTTTGTAATCTCTTCTGCATTTCAGTTAATTTCTTGGGGTTTTTTTTTTAATCTAGTGAGCCTTTTTTCAAGAATTTTAAGATAAACCATCCAGAAAAATATTTGTTTCTGAACAGATCTTCATCGAAACTTCTTTAACTTTCTTGACCACACCTCATTTTCCCAAACAAACGAGTATTATGAGAATTTTAAAACAGCTTTGCCAAATCCAAGTTTATGGGCTGTATCACTTGGCCATGCATTCCTCAAAACATACATCACTGGTGTGATAGTATGATTAAGTTTATGATGGATGATGAAATCTGTGAAAGTATTTCTTCAGCAAGTTGGTGGTGGTGGAGTGGATGATTTATGGTGATTCCAGACTGTGGTTAGTGCATTTGTATTCACTGTGGTTATTTTCTTTCCTTTAGTGCATGGTTCTTCTCTCTCTTTGGTGTCCAGTACATCATCTATATATTCCACTGTGAGTATAATAAAGAGTTTGCTTATTAATCAAAATTATTGAAATTGCCTGGTCTTACCATGCTTATCTTGCCATTCAAGGAGAAGGGAAAAAACAGTTTTCATTTGACAATGTTCTGAATTCTGGCTAGGAAAGCAATGTTTATGTTTGTAAGGATGCCTGTGGATATTTACAGTATCCTCATTAAACACAGACTTCAATGGCCTAAAAGCAGCCTTTGATTTTTTGCATCAGAGTTTTATGCTGTGCTAAGTAGGTTCTACTACAAAGAACCTCAGTAGATATGAGGACATTGGAACTGCATTGCTTAAAGCATCATAAAATGTGCAGAATGAAATAATCCCATCCTTGTATTGATGATTTGCTGCTAAAGAACTTTGAGTCCACTTTTTAATTTCAATTAATAATTCTAAAAAAAGCCATTTATTCACCATGCCAGTAACATTTTCTCCACGAGTGTGTATTCATTTTGGTTTTCTGGTCCTAAAACAAGGCTTGCTGGAGTTTGAAAGTGCAGGGGAGTGCTCAGAGCTCCTGGTTTCTGTGCTTGCTGCTGTGTTGGGATGGCTGTGATTTTCCTGGGGGCTGGAGGAATTTGTAAGGGGTTTTTTTTTCACATCACTTTGGAATGCAAAAGTGGGACTGAGCAAATGCTGAGCATGGGGTAACAGGAATTGCCTGGGGTCAGCCAAGTTCTGCTAATAACTGCCCTAATAATAATAAATTTCAGTCTCTAGCCACCTCTTTTCAAGGAACATTCTCTTTTTCCATGGAAAGGTCTGTTCCTCAGAAAGTTAAGGCTGATAAATGCTGTTGGTTAAATGCTGGTTCTGCAGAGCCTCATGCAGTCCCTGCTGGGCAGAGCCAGCCCTTCACCCTGCCACGATTCAGACCAGAGCAGCTCTGCTCAGCAGGCTGGGAGATGGAGCCCAAATTCCTTCCTGCAGAAGGAATTTCCTCACCAGCAGCCTATTCTCTCTTTCCTTGAAGAGTAAATAATTTAGGAGATGAAATTAAGCTGAATGTGGATGTGGGAATCCAAAATAAGGAAATCACATTAGAGTTTTTGAAATACAAAAAGAAAATTTGCATAAATCCGTCAGGCTGGTTGTGTTGTAACATCCTCAYGTGTTTCCTTTTGTTTTRCAGCCTGAGGAGAARTGCCAGTCCGAGGTAAGAGCACAGSCTGTCTGGGCAGCAGCAGTGCCACTCTGCACTGTGTGCTTTGCTGCTTTGTTTCTCCTTGTGCTGATGCACTAAAGCACTCTGTAAAACCCACAGATTCGCAAGCTGAGGAGAGAACTGGATGCATCCCAAGAAAAAGTGTCAGCTCTGACAACTCAGTTGACTGCTAATGTGAGTACAGCTCTGAGAACATTAACCTGGAACGCATTTAATGCAACAGTAACACCCAGTTTTTTCAAGTGACAAACAGATTTCGTGTGTATAACTCTCAGTTCATGTTACTGATGTTTTTAAAGAAATAACTGCCTGCATGTGTGAGACCTGCCCAAATCCAGCATCCTCTGCTCCACTAAATTATCTTAGGCCTTTCTTTAAAAACTGAGTTACAATATTAATTTGACTCTATATAAATATAAGCTCTCTGAAGGTCCTGAGAAAATCACTAAAGACAGAGTCTCTTTTTATGAATAGCATCTTGCTTTGACGTTTGGAAGGAATGAGATACAGATAAAGATTATGACTGGTAGGAATAAAAGTTGGCAGAGACTTGGACTGAAATACATTTTATTTTTCTGTTGCATAAAGATGTGGGTTAATGGCATGATAGGTATTAGTGGCATTAGGGGCTCTGGAAACTTAATTTAAAGTTAAGCTAGAGAATGGAGATACCTGACTTTCAGCCAGTGTAGACAATACTTCTGCTTGTTCCTCTCAGGAGTGTGATGGATAAGTAATTTAAGACACTTGGGGAAAAAAAAAAAATTGGAATGCAGGAGATGTTGGGGCGATAGTGTGTGACCCTGAGCGAGTTTATTTGTGTGTTCTGTGCTACAGGCACAGACAGCAGAAACCTGCAACACAGGAGCTTGCAAGGAAAATAAGCAGTTGTAGAGTAAATAAGCTGCAGATGAGCAGTCAGCAGAGCAGATCGTGCTGACATCCTGGTTTGTGGGGATGGATAAACACCAGAACACGTGCTGCTTGAGGGGGACATTCCTGTGCTCCCCTTTTTCAATGATCTGAACAGGGACAGTGCAGAACTTGGGGTAGCAAAGGACAGTTTTCACCTGAGCAGCACCACAGGAAAGGTTCCAGGGGAAATCTGTGCTCTCACTGCAGTCATCAAAATCCAGTGTGAAAATGGAGCWGCCAAACCAAGAGCACTGTRGCAACAGAGAAATCAAATAAAAGGRCTTTGMCTGCACTAAACCACTCAKTCACTGTCCCAGGAGAAAGAGAAAACAATTTAAACAGCTTTCAAAAGTTCAATCTTGCATTTGCCTTTCACCTACAAAGGGGATGGACACATGAGTTGGTTTTCCCCCAGAAGCTTCTCCCATGTGTGAGGAAGCAGGACCAGCTTTTCCTGGGCACATTTTTAATGATGTTGTTAAATAACCCAGCTTGTGTCCTTCAGACAAAGAGCTTGTCAGCTGAGCAGCTCGTTTGGCTGTGCCTGGGCTTTATTGCATTCTCCTCCACACAGTTCAGGGTCACTGGGCTGTCTCCAAGAGCAGGAGCAGCACAGGCTGCTCTTCACTCACCCAAGAATTTCTGTATGGTTGCTGCCACTCTCTTTCTGGAGAATGGTTTTTAATGCACACTCCTGTATGTTTCTGTTTGGATTGGGGGAATTTGTTTTATTGTGGGTTTTTTTTGTTGTGGGCTTTCTCAAAAAGAAAAAAAAATAAGCTAGCATTGTTTGTTGTTTTGCTAATATTCCATTTATGCTTAGTTCACTCGGATAAAATTTTGCAGTGTTTTATTCGTGCTATTTAAATTTCTTAGACTTGGGCCTGCCCCTGATTTGTCCATAAATTGGCAACAAAGATGTTGCTATAACTGTCCTAAAAATAAATTCCAGTCTCTAGCCACCTCTTTTCAGAGAACATTCTCTTTTTCCATGGCAAAGGCAAGGTCTGTTCCCAAAAAAAATGAAGACTAATAAATGCTGTGAGTTAAGATGCTTGGACCTTTCCTTTAGACATGATTCCTTTATTAAAAGGCAATTAAAATATAGGCAATTCAGATTAATCTCTTAAATTTATAATTTCTTTTCCTGAATTCCCCTGCATAGACACTGCAATTGTTGATACTTCTCAAGCCATCAAGGGCATGAATTTGAAAACATTTTACTCCAACTAGAAAGGGAAGATACATTTTTTTCCCATAGCTCACTGAACAATTTTGAGATAGGAACATTTACAAGATCCGGTTTTGAAAGAGCTACTGTTTTTTGAGGCTCAGGTCAAAGCATTAAGGGTTTGTATCCTGTTATTAATCCATGCAGTCCTGCTTGCCCATTTATTTTTGGCTTTTGCTAAGTATTGCTGAAGATCCCTGAATATCAGCTTTGTTGTTCCCTGTTCATCCTCCTCAACAGAAGCTGTGCACTCTGTGCTTTTAAAATAAATATTTAGATTTCCCTACGTGTGTAGTGTTAGGTTTTGAATTACTTTTTGCCATTTTCTCACAGTCTCAGCTCTGCTTATTTTCATTGGGGCTGATGGGAATGAGAGCTGCACATCCCCATGTTATTGTACTGCTCATGTTTGTTTTCATTGTGAATGTGAGAACAGTTCTTTGGGATAAGTCAACTGTGTGCTGCTGCTGAATGGGTCTGGAATAGCTCCCTGAAAGGTTTTGCTATTTTTGTATTTATTTGGGTTGTTTTCTGCTTGGAAAGATTTTACAGTTTTACTTGTCACTGTGCATGTAGAATTATTGCTAATAGATAAATAAAACTCTTGTTTTCTGTGGTCAGTGTAGATTATTGTGGCTAATGAGACAGATGGATATTGAAATATGCCTGTGATCAATTGTGTACACATGCATATGCATACCCATAGAACAGTGCCGTGTTTGGCACTAGAAATAGTTTCTTCAGTTCTTTTCCATCTTCTCAGTCTACTTTTCCTTCCTTTTGCTTCTCAGTCATTTTCAATTCCTACCTGGTGTTTTTCATATAATGGATGCTGTGTTCTCTGTGCTTGCTGGGGGAAAGGTTCAACATTCTTCTCCCAAGAAGCACAGAGAAATCAGTTTTTCTTTCCTTGGGAAAAGAAAGAAAGAAGGGGTGATTGGCCAAGCACCAGGAATTTTGGATGATGTGTAGCAAGTTGACCTTGGTTGGAAGCAAGGTGCACTAGAATATTGGAGAAGTCTTGGAGCTGGATTTGGGTATTGCAGCTGGTGAAGCATCTGTTCTCCTGCTCTTTTTTAGGGAAAGAGAGATAAAGCACTGGAGTGGTCTGCCTGGGGAGGGGGTGGAGTCACCATCCCTGGATGAGTTTAAAAAGAGATTGGATGTGGCTCTTGGTGCTGTGGTTTAGTTGGAGGTGTCAGGGCATGGGTTGGACTCGAAGATCTTGAAGGTCTCTTCCAACCCTGGTGATTCTGTGATTGTGTGATTGTGTGATTTGGTGATTGTGTGATTCTGTGATTGTGTGATTGTGTGATTCTGTGATTGTGTGATTCTGTGATTCTGTGATTCAGTGATTGTGTGATTTGGTGATTGTGTGATTCTGTGAAGAGAGCCAACCCCTGTGGTGTGGTTTGATTTCAGGCTCACCTGGTGGCAGCGTTTGAGCAGAGCCTGGGGAACATGACCATCCGGCTGCAGAGCCTGACCATGACAGCAGAGCAAAAGGCAAGATTCCAGAGCACTTGGGAGGTCTTCATTTCTGTTTCCAGCACTGCTGCTTGTGCTCCTTCTGTAGCTCTGTGGGGGAAAAATGTCCCATGCATAGTTTGCCTCAGTTCCCTCAATTGTGGTGATAGAGTAAAACGTAATAACAAATGTCTATGTAACACTTGTTTTCTGCACTGGGATTTTGTGGCCACTGATCGGGTTGTTCCTATGAATTGTTGCTTTGGGCACAAGTCTTCAGTATTGCACATTTTTGTTATGTATTTCATCCCAGTGGATCCATACATGGAGAGAAACACCAAGGGAAATACTTACAAGCCTGGCAGCACTGGGGTTTGGGGCAGGATGCTTGAACAGACATTATTGCTGTGGTACAGAATACACGTGTTTTTTTGTCTCATAATACCCAAGCTGTTCTGCACTCTGTTGAGAGTTTTTTTTCCTTATCCAAGGACTCGGAGCTGAACGAGTTGAGGAAGACAATTGAGCTCCTGAAGAAACAAAATGCTGCTGCTCAGGCTGCCATCAACGGGGTCATCAACACACCTGAGCTCAACTGCAAAGGTGAGACACAAGCACCACATGCAGGGACTTTGGGGCTCTCCAGTGAGACTTCAGTGCCCTGGGCAAGAGCTGATGGAACCATCAGAGCTACCCAGAAACCAGAGCATCCCAGTCATTGATAGCAGGATGAATTGCTGAAGGAAAAATTGGAAGCATCTCAGATTTTAATTTTGTCACGAGCAACAAAGATTTGAAATGCGCAGWGCATCCGTTGGGACAAGGGATTGTYAGAGCGCTGGTTTCCCTAAATGCTTTTTTAGGGTTGCATGGTTSATGCCATACACAGATTCCCCAGACAGTTTTGACACTGGCTCCACTCACCCCCAGGTCCTGGAGCTGCTCAGCCCACGGACCTGCGGATCAGGAGGCAGCACTCCTCTGACAGTGTCTCCAGCATCAACAGTGCCACCAGCCACTCCAGTGTGGGCAGCAACATCGAGAGTGACTCCAAGAAAAAGAAGAGGAAGAACTGGGTGAGTGTTTTGGCAGACTGGGGGAGGTTTATATGAAGCTGTCAGGACATGCACGGTGGGATCTKCTCCTTCCTGCCTGTGCAGTGGGTCAGCACAAGGGCTGGGCACTGATTAAATGCTGGGTAAACTCCCCTATAAAGGCTTCATGGAGCTGTAGATGTTGGCTCTGCATGGGATTGAATTACAGCTTGGCAGCCAAAAGGCCAGCCTTAATCAGAAATAGCTGTCAGAGATCAGTTCTGGCTGAAGGGGTGTCCARCCCCTTAAGGAAAATGGGACATCTGTCATTAAAGTAAAACAAATGCACAAGAGAAGGTCATTCTTGCCTTTTTTCCTTTTTTTTTTTCTATGTTTCATAGGGTTTTCTTATAAGTGAACATCTTAAACCCTTTAAGAACTCTTTGTCCAGCATTAACATGGAATTCTAAGAATAATGCCAAAAAAATACCGATCTTTTAAAAAAATTTTGTGCTGGGCTTCTCTTTTGGAAATTTTTGCAATACTTACCTTTCATTTCCCATTTTTCCTTCTTTGCTCATCATGTACTATGTACAAGGTACCCTGTACTGGAGGAAAGGTACTTTATCTTCAACTCCATTTTCAATTAGACCATAACTGCCTTAGTGACCTAGTCTGACTGTAGTTTGGACTCAAGTCCCTAGACCCTTTATTGTAGCCAGTAAAACAGTTCACCCMTTTCTTCCCACTGAGTTGAAATCTCCCTGGATCTCTTGGGTGTACAAATAAATCTGTAGAGATGCAAAATATGGTTAGAGCTGGTAAAAGCTTCATTTGTATTTGCACAATATCCTCTCAGAAATGTTGATGAGACTCCTGAACTGGAAGAAACAACATCCTGAACAAGTTCTTATTTTTATTTCTCTCTTATCCTGGTGGTTGTATTTTGGCATCTTGTGGTATTGCCAGCTGCTTCACAGCAGAAGCATTTCCACTCTGCCCCTGAAATAATTGGTTGAATGAAAACAACATTTCTGCAAATCCCTCTTGTGCTGGATTACACTTCAGCTATAGATAAAGGAAATTGCTGTAACTTTTACATTTTTAGCGGCCCTTAGTTTATGACATAAAASTTTCTTAGTCATTAAGCCTTCCTTGGTTAAGATTAACACCTTTTAAATTCTTGTTGAGCTTCTATTTTTTGTTATTGTAACCTAGTGGATATGGTCCTACATCAGCCTGCATCCATCAGATAACTATTTCTAAAGAAGGTTAAGAGAGCAWTTCCCAAGTACAAGGATAAATAAATAAAGGTTTCATGAAGTAGAAGAAGTTTCATGTTATTATTAAAAATGAGTACATTGCTGCTGTGAAATGAAGATTTGAAAATAAAACACTACTGAGAAAAATATAGAAGTTGAATGTGATTCGCACATTCTTTATTCCACCGGTGCTGAGGAAGTTTTCAGCCAAGCTCTTTGTGTTCTGTGTAGAAGCAATGCAGCTGTCCATTCAGAGCTGAAACATCAGATTTTCAGCATTTCTCATTGTAGGAGTCTTTGTCTTGTTTAAAAGCAGCTTTCAGCTCATATTAAGCCTGTGTACAGTACATGATTTGCAATGGCATTAAAAAGGTGTTCACAGAGTATCCTGAGTGGGAAGGAACCTGTGAGCATCRTGAAGTCCAAACCTTAATTCCACAGAGGTTTAACTTCCAGGGCTACCTAAAAAAGAAACCATAAATCTAAGAGCATTGTCCAAGTGCTTCTGTAGCACTAATGGTTGAATTGTAGCTTTGGAATGACACAAATTTAATGCCATGAATTTTAATTCTTTTATCTTGTTTGGAAAACGGTAGTCACATTACAGGAAGTTGTTTTAGTTGCAGGTAGGTAAGAGAAGTTGCAGTCTTTTCACATGGTGAAATACCTATTCTTGAGAGGAAAAATACATTATTAACTTGGCTCTAAGCCAAAGCACTATGTCTGAGCTAAGGAGAAACTGTAATTTACATAGTCACGAGAGCTGGGGGCTGGTGATGCCAGAAACGGCCGTATGTGGTTTGAAACACCTGGGTTTGGAAAAAAACAGGGCGCCAGATTTAAAGTAACTGTTGGTCTTTGTTAGTCATTGCTCATGTTTGTCTTAGAAACCCAAAAYTTCCCTTATCAGTGGCTTTATCTGTTAAAACATGTCTTTTTTCCTTCCCCCCCACTTCCTTTTCGCTTGCACCACTTCGGCAGGTCAATGAGGTAAGGAAGACCTACTCAAACTGGGAGGTACCGAGCTCACCCCGCGCCCACTGAYACCACTAACCATGCCAGCATCGTCCCCCAGGCTGGGCTAACCAGCACAGCTCATAGTGGTCAGCACAGGGGCCAGTGGCCAGTGGCCAGCACAGCTGCCAGAGGCCACCACGCCGCTGCACAGCCTTGTTACACTGAGCACAGATTGCTGTCGAGTAGCTCTTAAAAAAAATAGGAAGCATTCCCGACCATCACTCCTATTGACCTTATTAATCCAATAAAATAGTTAAGGGAAAAATGCTTGTTTTTAATTTCTCACCTGTCTTACTGTATGTGTATGTGAGTATGGCTGCAGCATTTGGAGTTTTGCATGTGAAGAGTTTTTGCTCTGTGGCTTCTTTTGCCTGGTTTCACTCTCAGTGATGTCCCTGCTGCTGTGGTCTTGTTTTTTTCAGCTACGCAGCTCCTTCAAGCAAGCTTTTGGGAAAAAGAARTCTCCCAAGTCAGCATCTTCTCATTCAGACATTGAGGAGATGACGGATTCTTCCCTCCCTTCCTCACCAAAGCTACCCCACCACACCACCACTGTTTCCACACCGCTGCTGAGAACTTCCCATTCCAATTCCCTGTAAGTGATTTTTTTTTCATTTTTAGACAGAAAAGGGCATGGAAGGCAGCTTGCTGCATGGGTAGAGGGAAGGCAGAGGACAGAAATGCTGGATTGATGTGTTCAGAGAGGTGAAGATGTGTGAGCTGACTCCAGCCCAGCACCTTTGCATTGGTGTCCAGGAAGCCAAAACTCACTGCATCACTACAYAAGTGTAAATATTTCATTGGGTTGCTCTCTCAGAAGAATGTACTAAAAGTATACAGAATATTTGTAACGAGGGTGACCTTGAGATGCCAATTGAATTGGATCTCCTGCTGTTAATTAAACAAATCAGGTCAAATCTAGGATTTTGTTTCTCTTTGTCTGAACACAGCCCATATTGTACTAATCTGCCGTGGTAAGTTCCCAATTACATTGACAAATTCAGATAAAGGTGAGGAAATCAGCCAGGGTGGTTTAGTGATAAAGATGAGCTCATCTCACAGCTTGTGCCTSCTGGATGGAGATGATCCACCCCTCTTTCCTTCCTTAGCTCCCCAGCCCCCTGTGCCTGCTCCTTTCCTTGGGCACTGTGAAATAAAATTCAACAATTCCCCTGTTATGCCGCTTGGAATGTGAGCTCCTGTTTTAGGATGTGYGTGGGAAACTCAGCATAATTCCATCAGTAGCTTTGTCACCTGAGCAGGGTAAACAAATAAATAAATCCAGGAAGTTGTGGGAGGCAGCGTTGTGAAACCTGTAATTACCAGCCAGCCTCCTGACCTTGCAGAGTTCCCAGCCTGATCTCAGAACAAATGCACTGCAGTGGTTCCCCTCCRCTCGTTTTCACATGAAGAGGTGGAAACAATGGCAGTGGTTCCCAGCTGTGTAGCAGTGGTGAGATGTCAGGAGCAGCAGATAATCCCCCCTGATYTTTGTTTCAAAGGTTCCTCTGTCTCTCGAGCCTAGCTCGGTGCATTTCTGGTGACTGCAGCAAGTTCTGCTTCAGAGCTCTCAGGCCTGAAAATTGTCAAATGATGATCCCATCTGTCATCAGCCAAAATGCTGTGTGGGTGCATCTCACCTTGCCGTGGAAGCCAAAAGGTTAAATGTTAGAAATGAATAAATGTGTGAACTGGGGGAAGGACGGAGCACGAGTAAAACTTGTGTGTTTTGGCTTATTGGCTCTTTGGTGGTGAAAACATCTTTCATTATAACCTGATTTAGAGAGAGACGTATTAGGTGAAATTTCCCTTAAATCATGCAGCTATGGAGTTGATCTTTATATAGATACAGTTACAAATGTGCTGAAATGTTTGTTACTCAGAAGCTTTTTTTCTGAAAATGATTTCATGGTGAGTACTTTAAAGCTAACAGGAATTTATCATGCTTGAATAGGTGTAGAGTTCCAAAGCCCTCCAGAGCAGTTCAGGGAAACCCAGCTGTGCACACCTGGTGAGCTTTAAATCTGTCTCTGAACTCATCAATCTCCAACTCRCTGCTGTTAACTGCCTTCACCCCCTTAATTTATTTAGATTTTGGCTTTAGAAGTTTTGCTTTATGGCAACTACCATGAAAAAATTTAAGACTATCCAGTAGTAGTTGATTTCCACAATTCTGTTTCAGATGCTGATTACAGAAAAATAACCCTCAGACTTACTGTTTCATTAGTCTCTGATATTTCCACCACCTATTTAATACCTGATTCATGGCATCAGAATTTTATCCACTCTGAGCAGGATAAAAAGGGCTTTATTCCCCTCTCCTAACAAACTCTGGGGAGGCAGAGCGAGAGCAGGAACGAGWGCCTTGTTTTCTTGTGCCCGCAGCATTTCCGAGTGCGCGGACAGCGAGGCCGAGACGGTGCTGCAGCTGCGCAACGAGCTGCGCGACAAGGAGATGAAGCTGACCGACATTCGGCTGGAGGCACTGAGCTCTGCACACCAACTGGACCAGCTGCGTGAAGCCATGAACAGGATGCAGGTGAGGACAGCCCCAGACCCTGCAGTCTGTCCTTGAGTGCTCAGTAAAGATCTGGTGCTTGCTGAAAACTGTATTCAGTGTTGTGCCGCTGTTAAACCTTCAGTGAAAGTCAGCTCGAACAGCTGGATTTGCTGCCCTCAGCTGCAGCTGTGTCAACCTCATCATTTTGTTTTCCGTGCTCTCTGCCTTAATGTAGTTTCATTTCGGTGTTAGTGAATTCCCACATATTTATGAGTTTTAGGATGCTTGGAAAAGTTTCACGGAAAGGACATTGTGATAATTAAAATCCTGAATTGAAACATTGTGAAAACCGCATTTCTGCTAAGCTACCATTTGTTCTGAAATTACTCATGCTGCTGTCTTTCGATCGTGTTCTCACCGTGCCTTCTGACACCTGACTTGTGTTTCCAAGAGCGAGATTGAGAAGCTGAAAGCGGAGAACGATCGGCTGAAATCCGAAAACCACGGCAGCTGCAGCAGGGCTCAGTCTCAGGTTTCCATCTCCTCGTCGCCCAGACACTCGGTGGGGCTCTCTCAACACAGCCTGAACCTCACGGAGTCAACCAGTCTCGGTGAGTTTGATGAGGAGGCTTCTGGGGCAGGTTTTATCCTGCTTGGGCTGGGTAGCCATGGAAAAGTGGGAGTGTGGGGGTTGTTAACAGCTGAGCTGTGGGGATATGTCACGAGCTGGCGCAAAGCCACATCTTAAACATCGTCCTAGGGCTGCTACACCCTCGGTCAGAGGTGTCCAATTATGACCTCAGCTCTGAAAAGTCGTGTTTAAAGCCATCTCATGGTGCACATTTGCCAGGGGCCGTATCATGGGAAAAAATACAGGGTCACTTGCTCATAATTATCAGTGGCCTTCCCTTTTTGAAGAGGAATATGTGGCAGGGAAGTCAGCTAGCCTGGGTCTCATGTTTTGCCTCGGGGCATGGGGAGCCCAGGCGTGTTGTGTTTGTCTGCACTAAAGCAGAACAGCCTSGTTTATTGTTGTTAGTGAGCCCCAGCTGTGAGGCTGTTGATGTCTCCTGTTCCCAGACATGCTCCTGGATGACCCTGGAGATGGCTCTGCCCGCAAGGAAGGAGGCAGGCACGTCAAAATCATCGTCAGCTTCCAGGACGAGATGAAATGGAAGGAGGTGAGTTGTGCTTCATCGCCAGCTTTGGGATGTGGGTGACTCTGCCATGTGACAGGGAATTCAAGTGTGCAAAGGACATTTGAGACTTTTCTCAGGACAGTAGTTCACTGGTGTGTTAGCAGTGATGGAGAAGGTGCTCGGCTCTCTCTGGCTCCCTTGGAGCGGTACCGAAGTGCCAGGAGCACCAATCTTGAGGAAGAGCTTGACCAGTCCAAACTGGGAGATCTTTACCTTACCATTCCAGTCCTTTCTGGCACAAGTATCCTGTTTAGAATAGCATCTTCCAGACATTTTCCACCCATTGAAAGAATCCTAAATACCCAAGTGGATTGCAGATATTGCAGAATTGCAGCCCATCTCCTGTGTGTGTGATGTGCTAGTGCATCAATGTCCTACACAAGCTTGGCCAAGCAATGTCCATCCTGTCTCATGTTTTTGAACACCTGTAAAAGTGCATTTAAGAAATAAGTTCATGTCTTTCTGAGGGGTGGACAAAAATCGGAATGATCAGAAATAAAACGGGCTCAGCAGATCTTTCCGTTAAGTACCGATTTTGCATTAATTAATACAACCCTGGATAAGCAAATTAACAGTAAAACTGCTGGTAATTGACTGCAGTCAGAGCAAGTTTTAGTAACACTTCAAATCTCATGGCAGAAATTAGTTTTTCTTCAATTAATGTTTCACAGTGAGGGCAGCTGTAGAAAAATAAAATTGTGTTTGTTCTGATTTTTTTAATCTGCCGTAAAAATCAGTTACAAAATTCAAAATGCTGTGATACATCAAGCATAATACATAAATATAAACTCTCTTTCTCTATTACTACCTTCACATATAACTGTGTATCATTTATATATGATTTCTATGCCCACAGCATAATTTCTTATTAGAAATTAGTAAAAATTTAGTAAAATTTAGTAAATTAGTAAATTAGTAAATTAGTAAAAATTAGTAAAATTAGTAAAAAAAATTAGTAAATAGAATAAACCTTAAAAATGTAACATCTTTGATTGTGAAGTCTTGGAAAAATTAACTTGACGTCTACTTTTCTGTCTGGAATATTCCTAAGAGTTTTTCTGTCTTTTTGSTTACCTATAATCCTCTCAGGGTTTTGAATTGTTCGTGAATTGAGTAATAAATGCTTTAACTTAACATCACTGCCACCTAAGTGTCCTTTAGATTTGTGACTCCAACACTGGAGAAAGTGTTTATGATGTGAAAAGGGTTCCATATAGCATTCAGAATTCATCATACAGAGTGCTGAAGATGCCCATAATTTAGAAATAAAAGGAGAGGGGGCAGGGAGTTCCAGCATTTGAATTCCATTAACCACAGTTGTCTGATTTCTGTGTGCCTTCAGGATTCCAGGCCCCGCACCTTCCTCATCGGCTGCATCGGGGTCAGCGGGAAGACCAAGTGGGACGTTCTGGACGGGGTTGTGAGGCGCCTCTTCAAGGTCAGTGGGTCAAAGAGCTGCCAGCCCCAGGCTGTGTCTGTGTGCTCAGTGCTGTCACAGCAGCACAGAATGCCCGTGTCCCCTTGTCCCCCAGGAGTACATCATCCATGTGGACCCCGTGAGCCAGCTGGGGCTGAACTCGGACAGCGTCCTGGGCTACAGCATCGGCGACATCAAACGCACCAACAGCGCCGAGACGCCCGAGCTGCTGCCCTGCGGGTACCTGGTGGGAGAAAACAACACCATCTCCGTGGCCATCAAAGGTAATTCCACCTGAGCTGCCTGCTGGAGCTCTCACTGTTGCCTTTTTCAGCCTAGAAGTGAAATTTGGGGTGATTTCAGTACAGGAGGTGATATAAAATCGGGTTTTTATTGGAGCTCCAGGGGCAGCCATGGAAGAATATCCACCAAAGCCCAGCCCCACAGGGGTGAATGCAGTTTGATAGGTTTCAGGAAATTAGCATAATTGATTAAAAGCACCAGTTAGGAGGACAAGTGGTGATGCAATTCCCCTTCTCTGGAGCCCCCCACCCTCGGTCCCGGCTGTCCTTCGTTATGGAAATGGGTCTGACAGTCCTTGTKCTCAGCCTTGGATCCCAGGGAGGACCAGGATGGGATGGGACCTTGTGCCCCTGGGGTTGGAGCTCTGGGATGGGTTTGGTCTCCTAGCCAGGGAAAAGTACTGGGAAGGTTACAAACATATAAAAGGAAAAAGGCAGAAATCACCCTGGCATCATTACCATTGACACTTTTATCAGAGCTTGCTGTATCAAGAAACTCAGAGGAGCAGAAACCTCTCATTGTGCTGCTTTTTCCTGTCCCTGCCTTTCATTTGCTTCCTTCTGTTTTCATTTGATCAAGACGACACTTGGGTTGTGCTCAGTCTGTAATTCCAGCAAGTTTTCAACCTGCAGCAGYAGGAGTAATTACACACTCCACACATGCTGAGCTGATGGCTGGAGTTGTCCTGGAGAAGACCYCGCTCCACAAGGGGTGCAGTGGAGCTGTTTGAGCAGCAAAGTCCTTTCCAAATGAGCCAAGCCTCATATYTCATTACTTCTTTGTCACAGCTGTAGTTGATATTAACTTCATGGAGAGTGAAAAAAAAAATAAATCTTGACTTACTTGCTTGATTGGTCTCACTTAAGAGTCCCTGCTTAAGTACCAGGACAGAGTGAGCCCAAATTTTATCAAATACCTTAAAATCTGGATTTTTCAAAACATACGGTTTTCAGAATTCCCATCAATTTCATTCTGTAATACTGATAAAAATTTAATATTTCTAATATGGTTTCTCAGTTGGTTTCTCAGGGAAGCASTTTCTTATGAAAACTATACTATGAAACTTAAATTTAGGGGTAAAACCCTCAACTGCTGTATTTTGARCATGTATCAGTTCACTCAAAGTTAGACCAGTGAAAGCTGCAGACTGATGGTATTTGAGAGCAGTGCCAAACTTTCTTCAGATCAACTTGGAAATTTGACTGAAAGAAAATTTTTGAATATTGGTGTGAGAACCAAGTTACCTTGGGTAGCAAATCATTGGGCAGGAAGACAAAATAAACTGTGAAATATCTCAATTTACTGAGGCTTGACATGAACCCAGGATATTCTACTTACATAAAATTCATTGTCCGGTCATAAATCCTAATTGAAATATTGCCCRAGGTCTGGCTGTGTCTGTGAAGCTRSAGTTTGAGTTGATAATTAACTTGCATTGGCTTGACTTGTGCCTTGAAGGCTCCTAAGTGATAACAGTTTTCAATAAAATAGAAATGTATTTAATCCATTTATGAAAAATCACGTATACCTTTGAGATACAAAGCTGCCTGTATAAATATTTAATATTCCAAGTAACCATTGAGGTGCAAACATTKCTCTGGGTGATCTGCCAACTTCCCTTCCTGCTGTTTATTTTGAGGCACTGTGTATTTTCCCCAAGCCAATTCTGCCTGAAGTGACTGCTGACATGGCATAAATTCTTATCAGTGGGAGTTTTCTGTTGGAGGAGATAACTATCAGCATACAGAGGAGGAGTTTAATTACAACCATTTGGGAAAGCAGGGGGAGTTGATGGTAGCTGGGTTGGTTTTTTTTCTTTCTCTAGCGATCCAAAAGTAAACAGGTACATTCTGGCACGGTGAAATAGTGTAAAATGGTTAAAAAGTGTGGAATCCTTTAGCTTCCAAAGGGCCTGGGGGATGCAGCTGAGGATTTAGAAAGGCTGAGGGAGGGATGCAGGGTGGGGAGGGGGATGCAGGG